ACTGGAACATTTTTACTTTCAGATTGTATGTAGTATTATTCTCCTTCAATTCCCACACTCTCTCTAAGATAGCTCTGTGCTGTTTCTCAGTTTATTGTGATTGAAGGAACTTGTGTGGGAATTGAACTTAAAAGTGTTTTTATTCGACCTTTGTGCTTGTGTGATGTGTTGTAGTTATATACTGAGTTCCAGTGTTGCTTCTTGAATGTCTGCTGGTTGTAGCCACAGGACAGCTGTTTTAGTGGACTGTCTGTTGGCTCATTGCACCAGTGGCGTAACAAAGGGCGGCATATCCTATCTAAAATCACCTAATTTGTCCAATTTTACGTTTCTACTAAGAAGGAGGGGCGCTTTTTTTGGCAGGGGGGGGGGGGGGGGTAACTCCATATCAGGAGTTACCAGCTCCTAATATGGTCAGTTGCTGAACTAAGGTCCAAGATTTTCAAAATCGAATTAAAAATCATTAAAGGCCTGTCTCCAAATTCTGGTTCTAGAGTTCTCTTCTAACTGATCCTAAGAACATATCCTGAAAGTTTGAGGGTGATTGCTCAAAAAATGTAGAAGAAGATTTTCAGAACGCGTGATTGAAAATCGCTCGCGCAATACAATTACACATAAGCGCTGACCTTTGACCAGCGATAATTTCGGCTAGGAACAATATTTTTCCATGGGACCAAAAGCAGCTGATCGATATCACTCCCCTCTTCAGAAACAACTATAAAGTCGATTTCGAGAGAATTTTGATGAAGACCCCCGGCCCCCTTAAACTTCTCCTCATGCAGGATATGCTAGATAGTCTTGATCATTTTGTTTAATGATATTCGTAAGTGATTGAGCATTGATCTATAGAGTGGGTTATTGTTGGGTTTTCTGTACAGGAGCACTTTACATTGGCAAGTTCAGGCTCAAGTCTGACATTTATAATTATGGTCCCAACCGTGATCTTTGACCCATCCTCTTTAAAAAAACTGATTATATTTGTTTTCTGATTCAGTTCATAATTAACAATTTTTTTGCCATACTCCATTTACTACTAAATGATCAATTAACTATTTACTATTTTTGAAAATTATCCTGTAAAAACAAGGAATGGAGAAATGTTATCATCAGGTTATATAACGCATGTTCTGTCGCGCAACAAACCATTCACCAGTAGTAAATATGAATTGTGAGGGATCATGCTACACAGAGAGGAAGAAGATTAAGAGAAAACGTATTCTTTTACACACATTTTTAACTGCTGTTTAACCAGCTTTTTCTTCTTTTTTGTTAACAATAAATTAACAATTATAGTTAACGAAGTGATTTAATAAAAATGATAAGTAAAAGACTATCTTTCACAGTTCACTAAAATGCTATGCAGGGAATGCTTAGAATTTTGAGAGTTTTTAAGTTCTGATATTCTGATCGATTTTAAGCCTATCCTTGGATTGTATGCACGATTTGGTTGTGATGGATGTGGAATTGCATAATTTGCTGTATATGTTCTGCATTTGTATGTTTAATTTGGCCATCAAAACCAGAGAAGATACTGGTTCTCGGTTGTTTTCTAACTCATGCTGTGTGCTAGCCCCTTGCTCCTTTCTTCTCTGGACCCCTCTCAAAATTACAGTGATCACCTTACTTAACAGCATATCTTCTCTCCTTGAGGTACAATTGTTTGTCGATTCAACTGTTTAGTCCAATCTTGTAAGTTGTATATCACTTTTAATTTATGCACATTATTCAATCTGACATTCTGAATGGTCTCTGTTCGGTATTTACCCTGTTTTTATTGCTGCTATCTGCTAGCACGGTAACGCACTGACTAATGTCGTGATTTTGGTATTTGCTGGTGTTGAAATTTGGAATACTCTCCCTCTCCCTTGTAATGTCACCATACTGTTCAAAGTTCAAACTGTCTGCTCTTTGAATCAGGACTGCTAGAAATCTCGACATGTCAAAAATAGCAGACATCACAGCTAAATCCCAGGTTAGAGTTGACAATGAGCTTATGAACTACTACAAACTAACTGTGATGTCGCATTTAGGACTACTCTATGTGATTACTGGACCCACACATACGTCAACTGGTGAAATGTTCGACTGATCGATAATATTGCAAACTTTAGTTACATTGTGCGTTAGTAGAGATGATAAGAAGTAGCAGCAGTAGTACTACTGGTAGTACTGGTAGTACTGGTAGTACCGGTAGTACTACTGGTAGTACTGGTAGTACTGGTAGTACTGGTAGTACTGGTAGTACGGGTAGTACTGGTAGTACTGGTAGTACTGGTAGTACTGGTAGTACTGGTAGTACTGGTAGTACTGGTAGTACTGGTAGTACTGGTAGTACTGGTAGTACTGGTAGTACTGGTAGTACTGGTAGTACTGGTAGTACTGGTAGTACTGGTAGTACTGGTAGTACTGGTAGTAGCAGCAGGTCTCGCGTGTTCTTTCTGAATTGTTTCATTTTGTGCTGCAACGACACTGATAATTTTAACCTGTTTTTCTTACAATTGACATAATCATTATTCATAGAAACCTCTTTGTTACAATATCAAATAGAAACTGGTATTGGTATTCAGTCGAGAATAAGTCATAAATCCATAGAAACAAACCCTCGAACTTAATCTGACGTGCATCTGTCTGTATACGACTGAACACCCTGCCAACCAATCAGAGAGCAGTATTAGCACCACCTGATCCAAGTCAACCAATCAGAGCATAGTATCTGACACAGGCATTTGAACTATTCCGAACTGCCCACCAGACTACTGTACAATATTTGTCTGCTGCAGATTTGGCATTACCTCCCTCTCCCTCTCTCTCTCTCTCTCCCTCTCTCTCTCTCTCTCTCTCTCTCTCTCTCTCTCTCTCTCTCTCTCTCTCTCTCTCTCTCTCTCTCTCTCTCTCTCTCTCTCTCTCTCTCTCTCTCTCTCTCTCTCTCTCTCTCTCTCTCTCTCTCTCTCTCTCTCTCTCTCTCTCTCTCTCTCTCTCTCTCTCTCTCTCTCCTCTCTTTCACTCTCTCTCTCTCTCTCTCTCTCTATATATGCTCCCCTTCTTTGTATTAAATATGATGTTTTAACAGTGCTTTAGAGAACTTTTAACATTTCTCGCAAGCTTATCAACTTGTTTTTGAGAGTCCGTTCTAAACCTGCTCTTCCTACCGCTTACCTATCTACCTATTGCTTACTTGGAGTGGAATTTCTAGAATTTTAAATCGTGTAAAAGTTGCAGTGTAATTCGATTGCCTTGCTTTCTTCGGTACCACTGAAATGTTAGGTATTTTAAGATTTGGTTACCCGAGAAAAACACGTTGACATTTCTCAAAAATTGTAGAATTTACGTTCTTTGAAATGCGATCTATTGCTTTTTGACTTATTATCCGAAACTGCTGTGTATCGAATCATATCAGATCTGAAGGAATGTTGCTTGTGTTGGTGGTGATTTGCATCAAATTGAGTTTAGTTGGGCGTGTATCACTTAAATCACTTTGTTTAGAACCCCTCATCACTATGTTGCTATGTTCATTTGGTCTTGTCCAGGAGGGACTTGACTGTCTACTTCTGATGAGTCAACCGGTAAAATGCAAATAGCTATCATTCCTTTAATCAAATGACAGATATCTGTAAATATGAGCTATGTGTTAGGTTACTAGAAATAGGAGACAGCTGTAAATTACACGGTCTCAGAGGAAGAACCCCTGAAACCAGACTATTAGTTTCCTTCACACTTGATCTAGTTTGCAGGATATTTGATCCATGTACCAGTGCTCCCTGATAGGACCGCTAATTGGGTAGAACTTGTGTACAATGTACATACATAGTGTAATACAAACCTACAGTTTATCATATAATAAACCTTTTCGGAGAATTAGTAAATTTAATTTGCACTTTGTCTGAAAAGGTGGTGCTTTAGTCTGTGTGGATTCTGGAACTCTAGTCTGTGTGGAACTCTAGTCTGTGTGGAACTCTAGTCTGTGTGGAACTCTAGTCTGTGTGGAACTCTAGTCTGTGTGGAACTCTAGTCTGTGTGGAACTCTAGTCTGTGTGGAACTCTAGTCTGTGTGGAACTCTAGTCTGTGTGGAACTCTAGTCTGTGTGGAACTCTAGTCTGTGTGGAACTCTAGTCTGTGTGGAACTCTAGTCTGTGTGGAACTCTAGTCTGTGTGGAACTCTAGTCTGTGTGGAACTCTAGTCTGTGTGGAACTCTAGTCTGTGTGGAACTCTAGTCTGTGTGGAACTCTAGTCTGTGTGGAACTCTATGTTGGGGGATATTTACAGCAGACAGGAAATTATTTACATTTTCAATCACTGATTTGAGGAAGGCAATGTTTGGGGAGGAAATACCACCGATCACTACACAGAGGGTCTCTAAAACTTTAATTCTAGTATTTACGACAAGTAGATTGAGATTATTTTTAGAATCATGTTTGATCTGTCTGACTGTTGTGGTTTGTGTAACCTCGGAGCAGTAATATCAAGACGTGTTATAATCAGTTCCTAGCGATCCTGGTCCTTTACGAGCGTAGTGCTACTTGTTGACTAATACTAGTATAACTAGTACTATTTGTTACTATTTACTACTGTTACACTGTTACTAACATTTATATAACTTCTATCTTAGTACAGGTATAAAACCTTTATAAAAGTAAAGTTATTACACCGTTATCATGTGCCTCGAGGATTTCTACAATCTCAAGCCCAAAACATAAAACGAGTTTTTATAAATTTATCGAAATAAGCACCGGTGGGTTTTATACTACTGCTTATGATTTTAGATATATGATCATTACATGAAGCCAACCTCGTTTGATAGCGTATAAACGAGCTCATAAAAACAATCTTTTTTAAATAAGACATTATTGAGTAAACCTTTCTAACCCCTCTCTTTTGTAGACATGATATCAGTATTGGCTCTTACACTAGCTCTCTCTCTCTCTCTCTCTCTCTCTCTCTCTCTATCTCTCTCTGAAATTATTTTTTATTGAGTAAACCTTTCTAACCCCTCTCCTTTGTAGACATGATATCAGTATTGGCTCTTACACTAGCTCTCTCCACATTAGGTAAGGTCTTATTTGTAGCCCTCCCTGATAAGTATCAAATACTTTTAACCTTTTAAATTCTTGTCTCTTTGCGATGAAATTACAGCATGTTAATTATCTTGTAATACGCTATTGTGCTCCTGTAAGTCATTTACCCTCCTTTAATTTCAGTTAATTCGAACAATATATTTGCCGGTGAGTAGCCCCTGTTTTATCAAATATTTGCCAAGTTTCAATAAATTCAGTTTAATTTCATTACCTTGGTCAGCTGCACATTTTGGCGGGTATAATCATCACAAGTTCCCTTATCTCATTCATATGTAACTACTGTAACAGTCTAGGATTTAATACGTGTTAATTATATATTGTGGTATGATAGGTGAAGTGTTATTGACAATTCTGACTCCTCCAGATTTTGCCAGTTCTATTTGTCAACAGAGGTATGAACTGAATGGAGATGTTGTCTGCCAACCAGACGGTAAGGGTCTTTTTCTACTCTCGAATATTCTCACATATTCGCATATTTTCACATATTCGCATATTTTCACATATTCTCACTTCTCATAGTAGCACTATTTTATGGTTAATCTTGACCTTTCCATCCTCTCATATTCTCGTACGGTTATAGTATTGTTTATAGATACCTCACCTTTACCTTGTGATACCTCAATACAAGATACAAGGGGATTTGTTTTTCTGGGATCCTGAGTTCTGGTAAAGTTTAACCCCGTCCAGTCAAATTCACAGAGTTATACTCTCAAATATAATAAGTTCGACCTTCAAAAAGTCTTTTAGGGAATGTAAGTAACCTGATTAAGCGAATTGTGAAAGTGGAACGCCTCTCCTCCGACAGTGCGGATTGTCTTTGAAGTGCCCATCAGTAGAGCCCAGTATCTGATTCAGATTGCAGTAGAGCGTAGTATTTGATTCAGATTGCAGTAGAGCGCAGTATCTGATTCAGATTGCAGTAGAGCGCGGTATCTGATTCAGATTGCAGTAGAGCGCGGTATCTGATTCAGATTGCAGTATAGCGCAGTATCTGATTCAGATTGCAGTAGAGCGTAGTATTTGATTCAGATTACAGTAGAGCCCAGTATCTGATTCAGATTGCAGTAGAGCCCAGTATCTGATTCAGATTGCAGTAGAGCCCAGTATCTGATTCAGATTGCAGTAGAGCGCAGTATCTGATTCAGATTGCAGTATAGCGCAGTATCTGATTCAGATTGCAGTAGAGCGCAGTATCTGATTCAGATTGCAGTAGAGCCCAGTATCTGATTCAGATTGCAGTAGAGCCCAGTATCTGATTCAGATTGCAGTAGAGCCCAGTATCTGATTCAGATTGCAGTAGAGCGCAGTATCTGATTCAGATTGCAGTAGAGCGCAGTATCTGATTCAGATTGCAGTAGAGCCCAGTATCTTATTCAGATTGCAGTAGAGCCCAGTATCTGATTCAGATTGCAGTAGAGTGCAGTATCTGATTCAGATTGCAGTAGAGTGCAGTATCTGATTCAGATTCCAGTAGGGCGCAGTATCTGATTCAGATTGCAGTAGAGCGCAGTATCTGATTCAGATTGCAGTAGAGCGCAGTATCTGATTCAGATTGCAGTAGAGCGCAGTGTCTGATTCAGGTTGCAGTAGAGCGCAGTATCTGATTCAGATTGCAGTAGAGCGCAGTAACTGATTCAGATTGCAGTAGAGCGCAGTATCTGATTCAGATTCCAGTAGAGCGCAGTATCTGATTCAGATTGCAGTAGAGCGCAGTATCTGATTCAGATTGCAGTAGAGCGCAGTATCTGATTCAGATTGCAGTAGAGCGTAGTATCTGATTCAGATTGCAGTAGAGCGCAGTATCTGATTCAGATTGCAGTAGAGCGCAGTATCTGATTCAGATTGCAGTAGAGCGTAGTATCTGATTCAGATTGCAGTAGAGCGCAGTATCTGATTCAGATTGCAGTAGAGCGCAGTATCTGATTCAGATTGCAGTAGAGCGTAGTATTTGATTCAGATTGCAGTAGAGCGCAGTATCTGATTCAGATTGCAGTAGAGCGCAGTATCTGATTCAGATTGCAGTAGAGCGCAGTATCTGATTCAGATTGCAGTAGAGCGCAGTATCTGATTCAGATTGCAGTAGAGCGCAGTATCTGATTCAGATTGCAGTAGAGCGCAGTATCTGATTCAGATTGCAGTAGAGCGCAGTATCTGATTCAGATTGCAGTAGAGCGCAGTATCTGATTCAGATTGCAGTAGAGCGCAGTATCTGATTCAGATTGCAGTAGAGCGCAGTATCTGATTCAGATTGCAGTAGAGCGTAGTATTTGATTCAGATTGCAGTAGAGCGCAGTATCTGATTCAGATTGCAGTAGAGCGCAGTATCTGATTCAGATTGCAGTAGAGCGTAGTATTTGATTCAGATTGCAGTAGAGCGCAGTATCTGATTCAGATTGCAGTAGAGCGCAGTATCTGATTCAGATTGCAGTAGAGCGTAGTATTTGATTCAGATTGCAGTAGAGCGCAGTATCTGATTCAGATTGCAGTAGAGCGCAGTATCTGATTCAGATTGCAGTAGAGCGCAGTATCTGATTCAGATTGCAGTAGAGCGCAGTATCTGATTCAGATTGCAGTAGAGCGCAGTGTCTGATTCAGATTGCAGTAGAGCGCAGTATCTGATTTAGATTGCAGTAGAGCACAGTATCTGATTCAGATTGCAGTAGAGCGCAGTATCTGATTCAGATTGCAGTAGAGCGCAGTATCTGATTCAGATTGCAGTAGAGCGCAGTATCTGATTCAGATTGCAGTAGAGCGCAGTATCTGATTCAGATTGCAGTAGAGCGCAGTGTCTGATTCAGATTGCAGTAGAGCGCAGTATCTGATTCAGATTGCAGTAGAGCGCAGTATCTGATTCAGATTGCAGTAGAGCGCAGTGTCTGATTCAGATTGCAGTAGAGCGCAGTATCTGATTCAGATTGCAGTAGAGCGCAGTATCTGATTCAGATTGCAGTAGAGCGCAGTGTCTGATTCAGATTGCAGTAGAGCGCAGTATCTGATTCAGATTGCAGTAGAGCGCAGTATCTGATTCAGATTGCAGTAGAGCGCAGTATCTGATTCAGATTGCAGTAGAGCGCAGTGTCTGATTCAGATTGCAGTAGATCGCAGTATCTGATTCAGATTGCAGTAGAGCGCAGTATCTGATTCTACTGCAGTCCAGTACACAGAGCTGGTCCTGGATTCCAAAACCACATCTTTCCAGTCTTGCAATGAGAAGTGCTATATTGTCAAGGTGGCAGAGACCTGTGACAATTCGATCTTTGAGTCTAACCTTCAACCCATTGTTAAACCCCATAAATGCACTGATTTAATTTTCTGAAGATTGAACGTTAACAAGTAAACTGGATCGGACTGTAAATCTAACCTGGAATGGCTGCAATGATCTGGGGGGACCTATTGTTTAACTTGATCAGCTGATAATGTGCATTATTCTATTTATTGGATCCGACTAAGTACCATATTAACACCAGGACGCACTAACTAGAGCCACTTAGCGGTCCCTGAAAGGGAGAGTCTGGCAATATTCTTATCGCTTTGTACCTGACACATTTCAATCCGCTCCTTTTTGAGGAACCGCCAAAAATAATTATAATTATTGGAGGGTAATTCAACATGATCAGTTGTTGCCTCCAACCAAGATACAACATGTGGCAGTGTCGTGACGCTAATGATTTGACGGGACGAGGCAAGTGGGTAATCGCATAAATCAGGGAGCAAGTCTAGTTCATGGATAATATACCGGGTATTAGAGACCACACCTTCAGTAGAATCTGTATTCTGTCTGCATATATCTATATATATCTACTGTATTATATACTAGTACTACCTTGTATTCAGTCCTAACTGTCATCTGTCAGACCTTTTTATTACCCGTAACTTTATGACGTATAAATTTAGAAAGCTGTAAATAGATTTGTGGTATGAATGATTAGCGATGATGAACTACACCCCCTCCATGGTATGGATCTTGATAAGCACTATATTTATCTCTTATTTAGCCTGGAAATCTAATCAAACCTGCTGTCTTTGCTCCTTCATCAACCAAGGAGATTGTGTTTGATCCAGGGTACCTCAGGAATGCAAGTCGTTGCTCCAGGGATCAATGTGCGTGTATGAGCTACAAGCATTATCTCCCGGCAGTAGGAACTAGAATCCTACATATTTGTAGGTTACACTGTGTCAGTTACAACCGTACTACATGATTTGGCGGACTAGATACATCTTACACACAAATCTAATCTACATTCTAAGACTTAAAATAATTATAAATCATAAATATAACAAATTTTCTAATTTAGCAGTCCATATTGATTATTGAAGTGTGCACTGTTTTAGTTAGATTTATATTTGCTCCTTTATCAAAACAACCATTACAGGGGAGTTTGCAGCTCGCCAGTGTTCTGAGAAAACTGGAGTTTGTTACTGTGCGACTGAAACTGGGGAGATTATTGATGGCACTCAGTTCAACCAGGACAGAAACCATATCTGTAACAATGGTGAGACAGTAAATAGTGCTATTTTACTAATAATATTTGTAATCTTGTTTACAGCAGATTGTGCTACTAGTTACAACACTACTTATACTCTAGTAGCAGGAATAGTTACTTACTACTATTTATCTGTGTTGTTAATATTGAGAGTAGATAAGAACCAGTAGGCTGGTGTCTTGTTGATTCATGACTAATGTATTATATATATACAGGTATAATGTATATTGTATATATAGGTATTGTATAGGTATTGTATACGGTATAGGTATTGTATAGGTATTATATACTGTACAGTGTATAGGTATTGTATAATGTATTGTATATTGTATAGGTATTGTATAGGTATTGTATACTGTATAGGTATTGTATAGGTATTATATACTGTACAGTGTATAGGTATTGTATAATGTATTGTATATTGTATAGGTATTGTATAGGTGTTGTATAGGTATTGTATAGGTGAAGGAAAGTATTATTATAAACTGGTTTGTAGACCTATGTTTTCATTACATCACTCCTTTATAAAGTTAGTCATGTTCTCACTCATATTATATTTCAGCAAACTCCAAGTAACCTATTTAAATTCGAATTATATGTTGCTCCAGTAAATAAATAAATCACATCGCAAATTAGTGTCCCAACATTTTGACTTACAACTGACTTTACTTATAGAATAGTCAATCCCTATAATTGTAGCAAATATGGTGCAGCGAGGTTAGTATTTCAAGTGTTGCACAGAACATATTCTGATATAGTTTATGGGGAGGTTACGAAATGTAATACACATCTCTTAAATTGGGCATCTCAGAAAACATGCTGCTTTTAAGTAGTTGTTTTAGGGGAAATTTACATCAGCTCTTCAAGCACCATAGTAACCATAGTAACCATAGTAACCATAGTAACCATAGTAACCGTTGAGTAAAACTACCAATATAATTGGGAACACTATTTACTGAGTGTTCGTGTGTGAAATGCATTAATGTGCTCCAAATCAAATAGAGAGAGGTCCATATTAGGAAACGACCGAACTAAACTAGGATTTTATTTTGCCGAACTTTTAGAACAAATGCAATAAACATGTTATTCTAAGTCTGATTATGAGCTTATGTTAAAGTCATTATAATAACGTTATATTAGAATTAACACGCGTGTGAGCATTCTACAACGTTCTAGAAGAGTCCGCTAAATCTTTATCATATTGTTTATTATCATCCTTACAATCCGGTACTTTAGCAAAGAGGATTTATTGCTAAGAAAAGCATTTTACCGCTGTGTTTATTCCTTGGAATTGATGAAATGTTCTACTGTGTTTCGGTAAAATGTTTACCGAACCGGTCAAAAACAGCCCAAGCTTAAGCCGAATGAAATTTCGGTCGTTCCCTAGTCCATATTATTCTGTCTGCACCGCTGAAGACCTACACAATAAGCGGTGTTTTAGCAGAAAAATGCGGAAATATTACTTGGTTATGTCAGTTGTCAGTGCAAGGCTCTCTTCGGAAGCGGACCTGAAAACTGGGAGTAACGGTGGTCATGTGACTGTATCACCTTTTAGTAGACCGCTTTAGAGCTCAGCACAGCTCTTTAGATTCTGTTTAAACTCTGTTAAAACATCGTTTAAATACACCCCGCTGTAATTGTCTTTTAAACATTTCCACTAGATTTCACCAGGTGTCACTGTATAGTCACGTGACACTTTACACTTGTCTGGTTCCAGCTCCATTGGCAGAGAAGTACTCAGGTTTTATACAGATAGTGTAGTACCGTTTAACACTCTAATAGTATGTCATGCAGTCAGAAGTATTATGTCATGCAGTATAATGATGTATTATGATGCTCTAGTATCTGTAGAGAGAGAGAGATAGATAGATAGAGAGAGAGAGAGAGAGAGAGAGAGAGAGAGAGAGAGAGAGAGAGAGAGAGAGAGAGAGAGAGAGAGAGAGAGAGAGAGAGAGAGAGAGAGAGAGAGAGAGAGAGAGAGAGAGAGAGAGAGAGAGAGAGAGTGAAGTTTGCATAACCACTCATGCAATAGATACTGCCCGATAGAGAGAGGGAAGGTGTCCACCACTTCTCAATATTGCATGTTACATCTTGCTGGCCCCCTTGTGTGACATTGCTTGACAATGTTAGTGGTCAGTATATCCTGGTCTGTGTAGAGGGTTTTATTGCTTGTCAAGTCTTTACCTTCTCACTAACTCTCCTTAGTATTTGTAGATAGTACTTACTACTATTAGCTTTATCATTCACAACAAGTTGAGGAACTTTAGTAAGTTACACCACACGAACTTTATCACAGACCAGTCCCCAAATAATAATTGTAATTCTATTAAATCTATAATATTCCTTTGAAACGTACCAGAATGAAACTCTAATAAAGCTGATCTGATAGTGAGTAGTGACCCAATTAATTGGCTCAACTTAATAGTAATAACATTTCTAGTGGATCACGGACAAACAAAATTTGATTAACATTATTCAACACTAGCGGAAGATGTATTTACCAGCGAATTAAAGGACCAGTTAACTGAAAAATTTGTAGTCTCCAATTTGGCTAAGATTTAAATCAGCTGTGACAAACTGGTAAAAAATTGTATCGCCGAAAGAACCAACTCTCTAACTTACGTGTAACGCGTGTTATTGCAATAATAAGCTGTGGCCGCGTGACGTCATAAAGTCCCTCAGTGCGCGCTGGCATAGCGTAATACAATGCACAAATGTTTATCATCGTCAATAAAACACGTGTAACTCACTCAAATTTTATAGTTATGACTATTTCCCTAGTTCTCCAAAATCCTTATAGTTTTGGCTATCACCCTAACTATATGAATAGCTGATTGGATGTACAGTGCTCACGTCAGGATTTTAAACAGTGACATAAGTTCTTGAACAGTGGCTGGTGAATGTACGGTTAGAAAGTTTCTGCTATTACAAGTTATGTCATATGTGATAATTTTTGATTGTTTTCATTGCTTCATTAAAACGAAGGGAGACTGTACCGATTATTTTTCCCCAGTCCATGAAACTAATACACAAAATAATGTGCTATATATTAAATATAGCTGATCAGAGTGTAACTCTGTAATATAATATTACAGTTGTTCGGAAGAATGCGAGCAGTCGAATGGTTCGCTGTCCTAAAAGACATAGTTCCGAGAGCAATTATATTTTTAGCATAGCGAAATTTCTTACTTTAATCCACACGTGCCAGACAGTACAGGAGACAAGAAGTCTGGCTATTTTACGGCCGTTCTCATGGGACCATTAGTAGAAGTAGCTCCTATCAGAACGGTGCCGTGGGAACTGAAAAATACCCGGTCTGCTAAATACTGATTGGAGTGTACAGTGTGCAGAGTGTTTTGAATTTGACTTACCTAGTTATCGTCCTACTTGTATGATCATCGGTACTTACCATAAATAAACTACAGGTAAATTTAAATACCAAGTGCAAACGTGTTCAGTCAATCGACCCACTGAACAACTATAGAATTTCCAAGACCCTATTATTCTTTGACCCTATTATTCTTTGGCCATATGTATTACGGCACGATCGATTCTTAGATGGCTAAACGACAAACGTTAATCTATACAATTCTTAAACTATGAGATAGCACTTTAATCTAAAAATACACTTTTTATATTACTCCTGATTTTTACATTTCAATTTTCACGTAAAACATTGTAGTCATAGTGCATAGGTTGATCATGGACACTGACAGCTTAATTTTAGATAATAATGATTTATGAGTTTCTCTAAAGTTAACTCTAAACTTGTGTAGTCCAGTCATTTATGGAATTGAACCTGCAAATTTTCGTATACTCACGAAATTTTGCAAAGACCTTCCCAAAAGTATGAATAAACGATTTTCGGTTGGAGACATATTGACCACGCCCAATAACGTAACCGACCTTTTGCTTCTGAAGGTCGTAGAGACTTCTAAATAGGCTGAAACGAAGCGGCATATGCATGTTTATATAGGAGTTACTGAGCAACACATGGCCTAAAATCCTTACTTTTCGAGAAATTTGCCAAAAACCATTTTGGGCGTGGTGCTGAGCCCATTTTCGATAGGATCGTGATAGAGTCTTTAGACAGGGTGCAAAAGAACCGCAATTAGCATATCTATATATGACTTACGAAGAAACAGATGCCTTAAAGTGCTTACTTTTTCAGTTATTGGCGAAAAACTGATTTCCGGTTCCAGAAATCATGCAAAAATATGGGTATCTTGTAAATTGGGCCATGAAGGCCCTACAGATTTTTGAATGGGTGCAAATTGTGCAGAATGGCCATGTTTATATACAACTTATGAAGCAACATGTACCCTAAAACACTTACTTTTCGAGTTATTTGGGGGAGAACCATTGTATTATGTCCATTTTTACCTGTAAAATACAGTCTCACGAGCTCTTCTGTGCGCGCAAGGGACTTTATGACGTCATCGCCAAAATAATACAAACGGTAATTACACGCGTTAGAGAGCAGTTAGAGATTTAGGAATTTCGACTCGTTGCTCAGTTTGCTATTTGTCACAATCTGTCAAAATATGAGGATAACTTTTTTTTGAGTTAACTGGTCCTTTAAGATTTAGCGCTACAGGATTTAATGACTTATTGGTCGATCCAAATATGAATAGAATTAATCCAAATATGAATAGAATTAATCCCGATATGAATAGAATTGATTCAACATGAGTAATTTTCAGTCATGACGTCATGACGTGTCACCGTTTCGTTGCAAAGAAGACAATGCAGAATCTTGTGACACTGAATTCCAGGAAAATCAGATTGGACGTGCCTCTAATCTGTCACAATAATTCTCCGTTTTTTATCTAATGAGTAATGAGGAATAATATCCAACATTTCAAGTAATCTTCTTCCTGCTTCAGTGCAATACGATGTAGAGTATAAGCATCAGCACCGAAATGCTGGTTTCAACGTCCAAGAAATGTTGTCGGAAGAAAATCAGGTACAAGCTTCAATCTAGACAATATAAGTGTTGCGATTATTTGTGTACTTGATATTTAATTATTTAATTAATTATGATTATTTAATTAATTATGGTTCTTCATATTTTGAAACATTTTGGAAACATTATTTCCATGGAAATTAGTTGTAAACACCTTAACAGATCAGAACTGAGAATAAACATAATAAATCAGTTTCCAAGAAATTTTGGGGAAATCATAGATTCAGAAAATGTTCCCATTTTGAGGAATCATTGCGGAGGCGTTCTAGCAAAACTGTAAGCAAAACTGTAAGAATGTCGCCCAAATGTCGCCCAAGGTTTATTCTCAGAATTGTAAACTGTAAAGATGTCGCCCATTCAACTACTTACATTAACGTATCAGCTAGTAGGGCAGTGACTAAGTAGGTCACTCCCTTTGTCTTCTGGCCCTGTTGTTACGAGTTCGAATCCCAGTTAAAAGGCAGCTATCTGCTGTCACCCACCAAATTATGGTAACCTTTTTAGGGGTTTCTCTGTTCGCCGAACAGTATATTTTATCCAATATTTGGAATATGTTCCATACAAACTTGGCGACATTTTTACAATTCTTGTTCAAAACATCTACTGGAATATGCATGTACTTTAGAACGCGCGCGATAATATTTTGATCAAGAAAAGGCATCAACAGTCGACAAAAAAACATCGTGCTTCCATCGCGCGCGTAGGTTATATTCTGATATCGTAACTCTAATAGCTTCAAATAATGGTCGATAAAATGGCCTGAAATTTGTGCTTTCATATTTCAATGATATACATATTGAGGACAAGGAATTATTTCATTATAACGAAAAATTAAAGTTTCTGTGGCGGGAAATGTCTTAAACAATTCCTCTTTCATAGTCGAATACTAGCAATTTCCATAATATTTGGAACTAAAGCTTAGGCCATTTTATCGATTTTGACGGGATAAGAAATTTCTTTAACCTGGTAAATTTTCAGTTAACCAGAAAGTTGCTGGACATGGACAAGAAGAACGCGGTTTGGGAGATGCGGAGTATCGTTATTACCCGCCACTCCACAGACAAGGACTACAGCGTATACGAGGCGCTGTTGGTAGGATACAACACCAGACTCTCACAAGAAGACATTGTCAAGAAGTTACGGAATGTGTTGGGGAGCAGGGACAGTGGTACTGACCGTCTCAAAGTTAGACAGGTCTATACCAGTGGTAAGTCTACTTTCACCTGATTTACCAAATGTTCAGGTTTCAATACTTGTGTAGCTCTCTGAGATGGAACTAGATTGTAACTCTAAGTAAGATATACTGATGAGGACACTAACTAGATTGTAACTCTAAGTAAGATATACTGATGAGGACACTAACTAGATTGTAACTCTAAGTAAGATATACTGATGAGGACACTAACTAGATTGTAACTCTAAGTAAGATATACTGATGAGGACACTAACTAGATTGTAACTCTAAGTAAGATATACTGATGAGGACACTAACTAGATTGTAACTCTAAGTAAGATATACTGATGAGGACACTAACTAGATTGTAACTCTAAGTAAGATATACTGATGAGGACACTAACTAGATTGTAACTCTAAGTAAGATATACTGATGAGGACACTAACTAGATTGTAACTCTAAGTAAGATATACTGATGAGGACACTAACTAGATTGTAACTCTAAGTAAGATATACTGATGAGGACACTAACTAGATTGTAACTCTAAGTAAGATATACTGATGAGGACACTAACTAGATTGTAACTCTAAGTAAGATATACTGATGAGGACACTAACTAGATTGTAACTCTAAGTAAGATATACTGATGAGGACACTAACTAGATTGTAACTCTAAGTAAGATATACTGATGAGGACACTACTAACTGTTCCTGTTCCAGTGCACGAAGGAGAGTGTCCAGCAGCAGAGGGACCCTGTGATGAGAGCACCAGAAAATGTTACTCCGACTCCGAGTGTGGGACTTCAGAGATATGTTGTCAGACGGAGTGTGAACACAGATGTATACCCAGCGGTGCAGGTATTCATTACAACACAAACTGTTAGAGTTGATAGTTCGGTCCGATCAGTGTTATTCTCCAGAATTTCTTCAATTTTTGGACGAAATTGTAAAAAAACGTATTATTCAATGGTACCGCGACAATTGACCCCCCGACAATTGACCCCCCGACAATTGACCCCCCGACAATTGACCCCCCGACAATTGACCCCTATGTAATTACACTGGGGTCAATTGTCGCGAAATCTAGGGCTGAGTACGACAATTGACGCCCGACAATTGACCCCCCATGTAATTACACTGGGGTCGGGTTAGGGTCAGGGTCCTGGATCTGGGTCAGGGTCCTGGGTTAGGGTTAGGGTTAGGGTTAGGGTTAGGGTTAGGGTTAGGGTTAGGGTTAGGGTTAGGGTTAGGGTTAGGGTTAGGGTTAGGGTTAGGGTTAGGGTTAGGGTTAGGGTTAGGGTTAGGGTTAGGGTTAGGGTTAGGGTTAGGGTTAGGGTCCTGGGTCAGGGGTCAGGGGTCAGGGGTCAGGGGTCAGGGGTCAGGGGTCAGGGTCAGGGTCAGGGTCAGGGTCAGGGTCAGGGTCAGGGTCAGGGTCAGGGTCAGGGTCAGGGTCAGGGTCAGGGTCAGGGTCAGGGTCAGGGTCAGGGTCAGGGTCCTGGGTCAGGGTCAAGGTCAGCCGGTGGGTCAATTGTCGGGGGGTCAATTGTCGGGGGGTCAATTGTCGGGGGGTCAATTGTTCAATTGTTGGGGGTCAATTGTCGGGGGGTCAATTGTCGGGGGGTCAATTGTCGCCCACCCTATTCAATGTATTATTATTACGTACGATATTGTAAAGCAATTGAGTCAATTCATTGACCCTAATTATCTCCCTAGAGCCCACGATCCATACCACGGCCGGTTCCACCTCAGAGATCACATCTCCTATAGAAAGAGAGACTACCGCTCAGCCCACTGGCAAGTCTACAACCACTATGGAGTGGTACCGAACCAGTCAGGAAGGGAGAACCGAACCACTGGGCACTGAAACTGAGGCCCTAACTTCTCATGATTGGTCTACTACTGACTCCTCCTCAGACGATAAGAGATCTACGACGGAGGATTCTACTGAGGGAGGCACTACTGACCCCTTCACTACTGAGAAACTTCTCATGACATCTACTGGAACTACTGATGAGACCAGTAAAGAGGACTTCTCTCCTTCACAAAGTCAGACGGAGGAGTTTAGGTTCGAAACATCTGACGGGACCCTTTACGGTTCAACTACAGAAGAGGTGAACTTCCCTTCTACTGCTGAGTACACAGGTAGCACAGAAGAGCCTAAGAGCACGAGGACGCCAAGTTACACAGAGAAGACAGTGGAAACTACAGAGCCGGAGGAAGGAAGCACTGCTGATGATGCTGAGACCTTTACCACCCAGGAATATGGTCCTTCCTCTGAATCAGAGGCATCAACTGAATACAAAACCACCTTTGTAAACAGTCTAGGATCAGAAGCCACCAACCCAATAAGTGAGGAGTACATGTCAACTGAGGAGAAGGCTTCCTCTCCAGAGTCTGAGAGAACCATTGAAACAGATTTCACTACAGATGTTACAGGGTTCGTGAGCAGCACTGAGCCAGCTCCTACTGATCCCCTCTCCTTCTTTGAGACAACCTCTCCCGAGGGTTCCGACTCTATGACTTACTACACACAGCAACTTACCTCCTTCACAGGTAACACCTTCCTCACCCACATGTGTGATTATTTTAGGCATTTTTAGATGTATGAAGAGTAGGTAGGTGAATACAAACTAAATTCTACCTCTAATTCAGTGGTAGAATTCAATTTATAATTATAAACATTACATAGTTTCAGTTGTATCTCATTATTACCAGCTAGGTATTTATTTACGTACCCCCAGACGATGTATCGGACAGCCAAACAATTGATTTGAAGATCTCTGACACAGTCGCCTTTACTACTAAACCTATAGTAACCTCCAGTAAGTCAATATCTTCTTACTATAAGTGCCTACAATAACTTGTCATATAATACTGATTGCATATGGAATAGCCCAGAACTAAAATTCACCCAATTAGTGATTATGTTAACAACCTCTAATTGCCTCTAATTGCCTCTAATTGCAGGTCAGATGAAGTCTCTGTGCGAACAAGAAGCTTCCCAGGCAATAGGAGAGGGACGGGACGGGCCCCTTTGTTTGGATAGTGGTAGCTTCAGTCCTCAGCAGTGTGACACTAACAGGTACAAGCTGCCAGTTGTCAAAGGGTTTTGTTATAACCCCCAAAGTCCAAACTTAACTTTTAATCTTATCCGACAACCTTATCTAAAGGTTAAAACGATAAGGATGTAATATTTTTAGGGGTGATAACTTAGTTCCCATAGTTGCGACTGATTCCTAAGATTATTAGTGTGGCTTTATTTAATTGTCAAGTAATGACATTCCATCTCTCAGAGGTATATGTTGGTGTGTTGACGAGGAAGGGCTGGAATTGAAGGGCAGTAGGAGATACGGTTCCGCTGACTGCGATTCTTTCAGAGGTTAGACAAATTAGCTCTTTTCCTCACTTTTGTTCAATTATTTTACTTGAATCAATTATAAGTTTAACATTACTGATTCCATTTCACGCTTAACATTTTAAATTTCATCAGGAAACGAATGAAAGAATCTTATTTCAAAATAAAATCTATCTTTCCGCAAACATACCGTGAAGCAAAAGCTTTACAACAGAAAATTAAATAATCGACAAGATACTGTGCAACTAAAACTCCTTCCCTTGTCCGGTTTAGTTCCCGTTATCAGGGTAGCGCCAGCCAAAGAAAACCCCCTCCTCCTCATCCTCCTTGTTCGCTAAGATCTCACTGTTTGTCTCCAAGTCACCCTCCTCACTAAGCTGGTCAGAGTCTTCAGAGCTTGCACAAGACAGGATGCAGAGTGTCATGAGTAGGGCTAGAGTCAATGAACGGAGCATTTTGATGTGTACTAGACTGTCCTGTGACTCAAATATGTGGTTGCAATGCCCGAGTTGCCTTCTTATATAAATCCTGATCACGTGGGACAGCAAATCATAAATCGTCAGTCTCAGCTCAGTTGATTAATCAGAATTGTGCTAATAGGTTGGGAGGGAGAGGGAGAGGCTGTATCCTGCTCTCCGCCACGTTAGCAGGGGTGCGTCTTACTCAACCTCGTCAACCAGCAGCCAATCAGAGGTGTCCTCTAAATCACGTGACTTACAACATGGTCACGTGACTTACAACCTGGTCACGTGGCGTGAGTTTCAACTCTTTGCACTCCGCCTGCCTTCTTTGCGCGCTATTTAATGGCTTCTAGCTACCACAATCTGTTCCGATATAATGGTAGTTTAATTTCATCTCACTAAGTGGTCTTATCATATCTGATGCATCTATTTATAGAAAATCTTATCATCTCTGATACGTGACAAATCTGCCCCTGAGAATATTGTACCGAGTAAACTAAACAATGTCCCCCTCAGTAAGAATATTGTACCTAGTAAACTAAACAATGTCCCCCTCAGTGAGAATATTGTACCGAGTAAACTAAACAATACCCCCCTCAGTGAGAATATTGTACCTAGTAAACTAAACAATACCCCCCTCGCAGTGAGAATATTGTACCTAGTAAACTAAACAATACCCCCCTCGCAGTAAAATTTGAAAAGTATTTAATAAAAAAAACTAAACAATACCCCCCTCAGTCTGTATAGTATCCCAAGTAAACTAAACAATACCCCCCTCAGTCTGTATATTATGCCGAGTAAACTAAACAATACCCCCCTCAGTCTGTATATTGTGCTGAGTAAACTAAACAATACCCCCCTCAGTCTGTATAGTATGCCGAGTAAACTAAACAATACCCCCCTCAGTCTGTATATTATGCCAAGTAAACTAAACAATACCCCCCTCAGTCTGTATATTATGCCAAGTAAACTAAACAATACCCCCTCAGTCTGTATAGTATGCCGAGTAAACTAAACAATACCCCCCTCAGTCTGTATATTATGCCGAGTAAACTAAGCAATACCCCCCTCAGTCTGTATAGTATCCCAAGTAAACTAAACAATACCCCCCTCAGTCTGTATATTATGCCGAGTAAACTAAACAATACCCCCCTCAGTCTGTATATTATGCCGAGTAAACTAAACAATACCCCCCTCAGTCTGTATATTGTGCTGAGTAAACTAAACAATACCCCCCTCAGTCTGTATATTATGCCAAGTAAACTAAACAATACCCCCCTCAGTCTGTATATTATGCCAAGTAAACTAAACAATACCCCCCTCAGTCTGTATAGTATCCCAAGTAAACTAAACAATACCCCCCTCAGTCTGTATATTATGCCGAGTAAACTAAACAATACCCCCCTCAGTCTGTATATTATGCCGAGTAAACTAAACAATACCCCCCTCAGTCTGTATATTATGCCAAGTAAACTAAACAATACCCATCTCAGTCTGTATATTATGCCGAGTAAACTAAACAATACCCCCCTCAGTCTGTATATTATGCCGAGTAAACTAAACAATACCCCCCTCAGTCTGTATATTATGCCGAGTAAACTAAACAATATCCCCCTCAGTGAGAATATTATGCCGAGTAAACTAAACAATACCCCCCTCAGTGAGAATATTGTGCCGAGTAAACTAAACAATACCCCCCTCAGTGAGAATATTGTGCCGAGTAAACTAAACAATACCCCCCTCAGTGAGAATATTGTGCCGAGTAAACTAAACAATACCCCCCTCAGTGAGAATATTATGCCAAGTAAACTAAACAATACCCCCCTCAGTGAGAATATTGTACCTAGTAAACTAAACACTATCCCCCTCAGTGAGAATATTGTGCTGAGTAAACTAAACAATACCCCCTCAGTGAGAATATTGTGCTGAGTAAACTAAACAATACCCCCTCAGTAAGAATATTGTACCGAGTAAACTAAACAATGTCCCCCTCAGTGAGAATATTGTACCTAGTAAACTAAACAATACCCCCCTCAGTAAGAATATTGTGCCGAGTAAACTAAACAATACACCCTCAGTAAGAATATTGTGCCGAGTAAACTAAACAATGTCCCCCTCAGTGAGAATATTGTACCTAGTAAACTAAACAATACCCCCCTCAGTAAGAATATTGTGCCGAGTAAACTAAACATTATCCCCCTCAGTGAGAATATTGTGCCTAGTAAACTAAACAATACCCCCCTCAGTGAGAATATTGTGCTGAGTAAACTAAACAATACACCCTCAGGGAGAATATTGTACCGAGTAAACTAAACAATACCCCCCTCAGTGAGAATATTGTACCTAGTAAACTAAACAATATCCCCCTCAGTGAGAATATTGTGCTGAGTAAACTAAACAATATCCCCCTCAGGGAGAATATTGTGCTGAGTAAACTAAACAATACCCCCCTCAGGGAGAATATTGTACCGAGTAAACTAAACAATACCCCCCTCAGGGAGAATATTGTACTGAGTAAACTAAACAATATCCCCCTCAGTGAGAATATTGTGCCGAGTAAACTAAACAATATCCCCCTCAGTGAGAATATTGTACCTAGTAAACTAAACAATACCCCCCTCAGTCTGTATATTGTGCCGAGTAAACTAAACAATATCCCCCTCAGTCTGTATATTGTGCTGAGTAAACTAAACAATATCCCCCTCAGTGAGAATATTGTACCTAGTAAACTAAACACTATCCCCCTCAGTGAGAATATTGTGCTGAGTAAACTAAACAATACACCCTCAGTGAGAATATTGTACCTAGTAAACTAAACAATACCCCCCTCAGTGAGAATATTGTACCTAGTAAACTAAACAATACCCCCCTCAGTGAGAATATTGTACCGAGTAAACTAAACAATACCCCCCTCAGTGAGAATATTGTACCTAGTAAACTAAACAATACCCCCCTCAGTAAGAATATTGTACCTAGTAAACTAAACAATATCCCCCCTCAGTGAGAATATTGTACCGAGTAAACTAAACAATACCCTCTCAGGGAGAATATTGTACCTAGTAAACTAAACAATATCCCCCTCAGTGAGAATATTGTACCTAGTAAACTAAACAATATCCCCCTCAGTGAGAATATTGTACCTAGTAAACTAAACAATACCCCCCTCAGTGAGAATATTGTACCTAGTAAACTAAACAATACCCCCCTCAGTGAGAATATTGTACCTAGTAAACTAAACAATACCCCCCTCAGTGAGAATATTGTACCTAGTAAACTAAACAATACCCCTCTCAGGGAGAATATTGTGCAGAGTAAACTAAACAATACACCCCTCAGGGAGAATATTGTACCTAGTAAACTAAACAATATCCCCCTCAGGGAGAATATTGTACCTAGTAAACTAAACAATACCCCCCTCAGTGAGAATATTGTGCCAAGTAAACTAAACAATATCCCCTCTCAGGGAGAATATTGTGCTGAGTAAACTAAACAATACCCCTCTCAGTGAGAATATTGTACCGAGTAAACTAAACAATATCCCCTCAGGGAGAATATTGTACCTAGTAAACTAAACAATATCCCTCTCAGGGAGAATATTGTACCTAGTAAACTAAACAATATCCCCCTCAGGGAGAATATTGTACCTAGTAAACTAAACAATACCCCCCTCAGGGAGAATATTGTACCTAGTAAACTAAACAATATCCCTCTCAGGGAGAATATTGTACCTAGTAAACTAAACAATATCCCTCTCAGGGAGAATATTGTACCTAGTAAACTAAACAATATCCCTCTCAGTGAGAATATTGTACCAAGTAAACTAAACAATATCCCCCTCAGTGAGAATATTGTACCTAGTAAACTAAACAATATCCCTCTCAGTGAGAATATTGTACCAAGTAAACTAAACAATATCCCCCTCAGTGAGAATATTGTGCAGAGTAAACTAAACAATATCCCTCTCAGGGAGAATATTGTACCTAGTAAACTAAACAATATCCCTCTCAGTGAGAATATTGTACCAAGTAAACTAAACAATACCCTCTCAGGGAGAATATTGTACCAAGTAAACTAAACAATATCCCCTCAGGGAGAATATTGTACCTAGTAAACTAAACAATATCCCCCCTCAGTGAGAATATTGTGCAGAGTAAACTAAACAATATCCCCCTCAGTGAGAATATTGTACCGAGTAAACTAAACAATGTCCCCCTCAGTGAGAATATTGTACCGAGTAAACTAAACAATATCCCCCTCAGGGAGAATATTGTGCTGAGTAAACTAAACAATATCCCCCTCAGGGAGAATATTGTACCTAGTAAACTAAACAATACCCCCCTCAGTGAGAATATTGTACCTAGTAAACTAAACAATACCCCCCTCAGTGAGAATATTGTACCTAGTAAACTAAACAATACCCCCCTCAGTGAGAATATTGTACCTAGTAAACTAAACAATACCCCCTCAGGGAGAATATTGTACCTAGTAAACTAAACAATATCCCCCTCAGGGAGAATATTGTACCTAGTAAACTAAACAATACCCCCTCAGTAAGAATATTGT